TTTATGCATAATATATATTTATATATGTATACATATTGCGTGCTGCTTGCATTCGACTTGCTATAGAACTTTGTTTCTTTGCATTTATTTATTTAGCTAGAACATGTATTTACTTATTCCAGATATGTATGTTCTTAAGGGTTTTCTAAAAGCATAATTCCTGTTATATAATAAGTCAATTAGGCCTTAAACAATTTAGCTGCCTACAAGTTCTTTGATTGGGATTGGAAAATTTATATAAGTAAATATTTGTATATTCTTGAGAATTAAACAGAATCCAAAATCATGTTTGCTCCAAGTTCCTTAAAAGAAATTAGTATTTCACTTAACTATATTAATACCAACATTAAACTTATCCATTTTAGGCCTACAAATTCAGATACGCTTGATCAATTAAAATAAGGAATCCATTACTCTCAGCTAATATAAAATTGCTAGCTGAAAGTAAAAGCTTTAAAATGAATTGAAAGTGAATATTGTTAGCTAAGTGTTATTGCTTGGCACATTCTATATCTAGCATAGATAGCTCAACAATTCTCGATCGTAATATATACATCAATTTATAGGCGTTATCTAATTGGTTGTCAACGTAGGCCAAATGGCTTTTGCATAATTCGCATAGCGCAAGCACACTTAGCCCCAGCTTACATCCTCAATTTACCTGGTCTTATCTAGCTAGCTATTATCACCCAAACACCTACACACACGCACATGGGCAAAGAGTGTAAGAAAAAAAGAGAGGGAGAGAGAGAGAGACAAACACTTGACATCAATTTGGGGCAGAAAAAAAAAAAGAGTAAAAATATTGACAAACATTTCGAATGCGTGTTTTACATAATCACAAACATGAATAACACTTGGACAACAGCAACAACAACAAGCAACATATTGAATGTTGCAACCACATCAAAATGCAAATCTTTCGCTGAAGCTGGCGATGAGCTGCAGTCTGCATTTTGGATATTGCCTGATATGTAATCACTTTTTTTTTGCAACATTTTGTATAACAACTGCAACAATAATAACAACAACCGCAAGTAGAGGGCTAGCAAACACGCTCACACATGTATTGATATCTACGTAGCGCTTGTTTTTATGTTGCGTAATGTTAGGCTACATAATCGCGTTTTTTTAACAGATGCCCCAGCCTTGTGGCTCTTAACAGTTAACAGCACAAGAGCGCGCATCCGTTGGCTGAAGAGCGCCAACATTAATTTGCTCTTACAATGTTAACGCGCTGCTTGCCTTTCTCGAGCGCTGTTAAGTGCGGGCGCAACATGTTGCTGGCATTGCTCAAATTAATGTTAAGCTAACAGTAGCGGAGCTCGCAACATTTCATGTGCTAACCATGCTGGCAACACGCTAAGGCAGTGTAACAGTGTAACCAATGTTAGTTAACAGGCGCGTGCCGTGCTTTGACGACAGCAGCGCTGTGAACGTCAACGTCAACGTCAGCGGCGACAGCGAACTAATTGTAAAATTTGCTATTTCGGCTAGTTGGGTGGCTGGGTGGGTGTTTTTGCTTGCTATAGATGTAGATATAGATGTGTGTGTGTGTATGTGTTTATGTAGAAATATATATATTTGCAATTGCTTGGCAAGCGATCGTCTCCAAAAACGTTGTCAGATTTTGACATTTTCATTTTCATTTTCGTTTTAATTTTCTTGCCGTTTGACATTAAGTGCGCGATTTCGTTTGAATTTTCATTAGTTGGCGCCCATTAAGCAGCAATTAGCATACAAGTTTTTGTTTAATATGTTTTCTAATGGTTTCCCTCTCTTCTTCTTTCCAGTGCCGAGCAATTTTAAGAGTCTCTGTTTGCGCGCCGAGGTCCTATTGAAGCTGAGCCACTATCAGAGCTCCCTGGCGGACATTGAGAATGCGCTCAGAACGCGCTGCACTTCAGCCAAGGTAAGTCCATCCACTACAGTGAGCACTCGCTACAGCTACTTATATTGAACTCTCTCTTGCAGGCTCACTATCTGCGTGCCTTGGCTCTGAGCGGTTTGGGTCGCTTGGAGGAGGCGCTGCTCAATGGCTTTTTGGCCATTTGCCTGGACAAAAACACAAATCTCAGCAATTCGGAAATCTTTCAACATGATCTCGCCAAGGTGAGTCCATAGCTCTACTCTGTTTACAGTTAACTAATCTAATGGCTATTAATGCTTTCAGATTCTGCAACGTCTTTTGGCTCAAACGCCCAGGAGTCGTGATTCTCTGCCGTCGCTGGCTGCGCAGCAGCAGCAGCAGCGCAGCAAAGCGCCGTTCACTCTGCTCTGGGAGCAGCTGCGTCGCCGCAGGAAACAGCATCATCATCATCACGTGCACCTGGACGATGTGGAGGACGAGTTCAGCCTGAGCTGCGAGCAGCAGCACTACGACAACTACATCATGGACGACGAGGAGGAGGTGGTGGAGGCGGCGGCCATGGACGGCGACTTTCTGTTTCCCAGTGCGCTCGACTACCTCGATCCGCGCCAGGTGTACGATCAGCTGCACAGCGCCAAGCAGTTCGAGCTGCAGGCGCGTCGTCGTGCCAGTCGCAAGCATTGCCGCAGAAAATGGGCAGCGGCGCAGTCAGCGCAGTTGACGCCAGCAGCGACGGTCGAGACGGGACGCTGCAGTCGTTTGGTTAGCGGCGTCTTTGAGCGCACGCATCAGGAGCTGCAGCGACTGAGAAGTGAGTTATTTATTAAAAAAATACTGAAAATACCAAGAAAATACCAAAAGGTATAGACATGAAAACAGTTAGGTGGAAGAAAATTAAGTATTAATTTGATGCAAAACCTGTTAGGAATTAATCTAATATATAGTATTTTTTTAATACTAACAAAATACTATTAAATAGAAAGTATAATACAATTAGAAATGCCATTAATATCAAGTTTTAATTCTAATCAAACCTCTCTCTCTCTCTCTCTCTCCCTATCTCTTTCTCTCTCTCTCTCGCTCTCTCACTCTCTCTCGCTCTGTCCTACAGAATTGGATAGTTCGGAGCAGCGACAGGTGTCGGTGGGCAGTCAGCTGATCGATGCCAGCGATTTCGACTGCGTGCTCTGCTGTCGCACGCTGTGGAAGCCGGTGGTGACGCCATGTGGACACACCTACTGTCTGGTATGCTTGGATCGTTGCATGGATTACAACTCCTCGTGTCCATTGTGCATGTCACCACTTGTGGAACTAAATGTCAATAATCTGTATCAGGGCTCATCCTCGCCAGTACCCTTTGCGCTGGCCAAGCGGCCAGTTACGAAATTCCTAGAAGCCGCAATGAAACGATTCATTCCAGACCACTACGAAACCAGATTTCGACAGGAGATCGACCAGGAGCCGTCGGTGCCCGTATTCATATGCACCGCCGCCTTCCCATCGGTGCCCTGTCCGCTGTTCGTCTGCGATCCGCGCTATCGCTTGATGGTGCGACGGGCCCTCGAGTCCGGCGACAAGACGTTCGGCATTGTCCAGCCGCACAACGGCAAGTCGCGCTACTATGACGTGGGCACCATTCTGGATATCAGGGACTGTGTGCTGCTGGGCGACGGCTGCTCCATACTGAGCACCATTGGCTGCAAGCGCTTCAAGATCTTGGCGCGCAGCGAAAAGGATGGCTATGAGACGGCCAAGGTGGAGTACATCTACGACGAGCCGATTGCCATCGATCAGGTGCAGTCGCTGGCCGCGCTGCAGTCCCTGGTGCTGGCCAAGGCCATTGTCTGGTTCGAGAGTCTGAGCAGCGAGCAGAAGCACGAGATCTTCCAGAGCTATGGCCAAATGCCGCCGCTCGAGCACAGCTGGGAGCTGATCACCGACGGACCCGCCTGGGCCTGGTGGATCATCGCGCTGCTGCCGCTCTCCCAGCAGCTGAAGGTGAGTGCGAATTGACAACGATTTCTATTTTCTTTCAACTAATTCCGCAATCTCTCTGTCGCTCTCTCCTATCAGGTGGACATCTTGGCCACGACGTCGCTGATGAAACGTCTGCGTGCCATAGACAAGACGCTCGACTGGCTGCGCGAGCTCAGGCAGCGGCAGCCGCAGCAGCAGCAGCAGACGCCGCAGTCGCAGTCGCAGCTGCAGCCGCACGATGATCTCAGCCTGGACTGCGAGGAGCAGGTGGCCGCCGACGAGGGGGCAGCCAACGGCGACGAGTGCTGCCTCTACGCGGAGCCACACACAGACGAGGAGCTGCTCGTGTAGTGCAGCTGCCAGCCTCTCAAATCATAGATCTAGCTTTAGTTATATATAGACGATATGTGTATGTGAATAGTGCTAGGTTGTAGTCGTAGTCGGGTGTCTAAAGCGTTTCTCAATGTGTAAAAGCAAACTCTGTGTCTAAAAGCCATTCGTATTACACTTTAACTGTTATCCTAGGGGCCAAAACGAAAAGGTATATATAGATCTATATATATATATATAATATATTTAACTTAGCAGAACCAAATTATCAGTAGCAACTGTAACTGTAACTGTAACTGTTAGCTATTAGCTGTTAGCTGTTAACTCTAACTATACTGTAACTGTTAACTAGCAATGTTAAGCAACTGTAGCTATAAATACTGTAAACTAAATGTGTGTAAACGTTGAACTCGATGTGTGTAGCAAATGAGAGAGATTTACAATATATATATATAGTACTATATAACTATCCATATATCTGTATATATACAAGTATACCACACATACAATCAAAAGTCGCGCCCCTAACAATCTAGAGAGCCACCCCATATATAACTTGTTGAAACCGTTGTAAAAAAAAAACGAACACATTCCAAAATCGAGTAAAAACTATAAACTAGATTGAATTCTCTGCTGCAAAAAAGTAACTGTAACAACAACAACAACAACTCATGGTTTCTACAACACAAATTTTTAAAGGGAAATACCAAAACATGTAAAGGCCAAGAAAACTTTTTTGAAACGAATGAAGAGGAGAAAAAAAAGCAGAGAAAACTCCTTGAGAGTTTTTGTTTTTTCTTAAATTCTATGTTTTTCTTTTTCCTAGACTAAGCGGCTGGAACTATAAGACAATCTGCAAACCTATTTTTTCTTTGTTATATACTCTATATATATATATAAACTAAAAACGATATAAATATTAATAATAATAAGCAGCTGAAGAAGAGGAAGAGCGTGTAGTTAGAATTTCATGTTTTTCCTTTTGTAAACGATTTGGCTTTAGCTTTCCTTTCTAAGTAAACTCCATAGCTGTCTCTCTCACACACACACTCTGTCCCTCTTTCTCCTCTTTCTAGCACTCTCTCTCTCTCCCTCTCTCTCTCTTTGTTAAACTATATTCAAGTTATATATTCTTATAAATGCTTCTATATATATATGCGCAGGATTAAATCTAGCTCGTTTTTCTGTATTCTGAGAGGTATATATGTATGTATGTATGTAT